GAATTCCCAGAATTCCAGCTTCGGGAACAAACTACGGGAAGGATTTTGGTACCAAGACAGAATTTTCCAACTCATCCAAGTGGAAAAATTGATCCAATTCCAGAGGTTCCGCTCTCCCTTTTTTCCAGAGGAAAAGATCCAGCCAAAACCAAGATCCAAGGAGAATCCATCCGGATCACCGCGGAAATCAGAGGAAAATCTCAGGAATTCCTGTGCTGGTCAATCCCAAAAATATTTTAATGGATTTGGATCCAACTCTGGAGCTGAGCCCACAAGTCCCAGCCCGGACTCGGGATCCTGAAGGGAAAAAAGCAGGAATTGTGGGAATTCTATCCCAAAAAAACTGGAGGGAAAAGAGCAGAAAATGTGGGAATTCTGTCCTAAAAAATTGGAGGGAAAAAAAAGCAGGAAATGTGGGAATTCTGTCCCAAAAAAATTGAGAAAAAAAAAAAGAAGGAAATGTCAGAATTCTGTCCTAAAAAATTGGAGGGAAAAAAAGCAGGAAATGTGGGAATTCTGTCCCAAAAAAACCCCAGAGGGAAAAAAAACAGGAATTGTGGAGATTCTGTCCCAAAAATCCGAGTTTTGATGGGATCTCCCTCTCTTGTCACCAAGGATTTTTCCAGGGACAACTGATAAGAATTCCAAATGTTCTCCCAGATCCCAGGAACAAGAGTCATTTTTATGGGAATTTTCTGGAATAACCCAGCCTCATCCTGGATATTTCCATGATTTTCTGATGGATTTCCATCCACACATCAGGAAAATCTCTTTTTTTTGGGAATTTCAGAAACTCTGGGATGACTCCAATGGATCCTGACAAAGGAACACCACGGGAATTCCCGGTCTTCTCCAAATAAGGAAAAAAATTCCATTAAAAACTGGGAGGTAGGGAATAAAAAATCCGGGAATTGTCCTGTCCAGCTTCCCTGTGGATGTGGAAATTTGGGAAGAGGGATCTTCCCTGGCAAAAATCGATGCTGAAGGAAAAGCAAAGCATGGGAAAAGTTGGGAATTTTTCAATCCCAAGCAGGATCCCTCCACGTGGAGGGGAGGAGGAGCCAAGAATTCCTGGAATTCCGGAATGTTTTAGGTGGGAAGGATCTTTGGGATCATCCCATGCCAATTCCCACATTGCTCCAAATTGGCCTTGGACAACTCCAGGGATGGAACAGCCACAATTCCAAACCCTTTTCCAGCAAAATCCCAAAAATCCTGAGGCCATCCCACCAATCCCCAAATCCCGATTTCCCCCCACCCCCATATCCAGCAGAGAATTTTTCCTTGGATTTCCAGTCAGAAAAATTTGGATTTTGGGAAGTTCCAAGCGGAGCGGCTCTGAAAATTCCACAAAACTTTTCCTGGTGACCTGAAATCCCAAAAAATCCCAATGGAAAAATCCCGGCCTGACCTGAGATGAAGGAATGGAGCCCGGGAAAAAGCGGGATTTGGGACAGATGGCATTCCCGAGGGCTCGGATAATTTTCCAACCGGGAACCAGCTGCATCCTGGCTTCTTCCCAAATGACTTTCCCCGAGGAAAAACCAGGAGCAGGAGGAGAAATTCCTGACCTTGGGATGAAAGAAAAACTTCCCAGGAATTCCGAGCCCTGGAGAGGCCATGGGAATGAGCTGATCCCGGGAAATGCGGTGAAAAACGGGAATATGGGATCGGGGAGGATCACGGGAAGGACGTGGAGCAAATCCAGAGGAGGCACCGGGAGGATTCCAGGGATGGAGCTGGGAAAATTGGGAATGTTCCCCTGGAAAAGGGAAGGATCCGGGAAGAGCTTCCAGCACATTCCAGGCCCTGAAGGGGATCTGGGAGAGCTGAAATTTGGGAAAGGAATGGAAGGATGGAACACAGGGAAAGGGAGATTGGGGTGGGATTTTGGGAATGAGGAATTCCTGCCTGGGCTGCCCCTGAATCCATGGAATGTCCAAGGAAAAGCTGGAGCAGCCTGGGCTGGCGGGAATTTCCCCACCCTTGGAATGATCTCATGGATAGGGATGAGATCCAGAATTCCCCACAGCATTCCATGACCCTGGAGCTGCTCCTGGGCTGGAATTCCTGGAATTCCAGCTTCCCATCCTCACCCAGAAATCCCTTTCATTCCCAAACCTTTTCCCACCCTTCCAGCTCCATTCCCAGCATTCCCATTCTCAGGAATCTCCACCCGCGTCATTCCAGAACCCTGGAGAGTTCCCTCGGCCGCAATTCCTGCAATTCCTGCAATTCCTGCAATTCCTGCAATTCCTGCAATTCCTGCAATTCCAGCCTCTCCCAACATTCCCGGCCACCCCCCGAGCTCAGGGCTCCGTCTGGATCCGGGATTTTCCCAAATCCATGGAACACAACAACGCAGCGCCGTTCCGGAGCTGCCAAAATTCCCAAAAATCCACGGATCAGCCTCTCCTGGAGAAATTCCATGAGGGAAGGGATCGGCTTTGAATCCCGCATCCTCCCGAATTCTGGGAATATCCAGCGGGAAGCGCTTCCCGCTCCCAGGGGTCACACCACGTCCTCCTCCTCCCTCTTCCCACGGGTTGTTTTTCCTTGGAGATCACACGCCAGGAATTTTGGGATGGAGAAGCGAATCCCAAGGATTTTGTGGCAGCAACTCCAGGACCACCCACTCCAAACAAGGAAAAACAGGGAAAAGGAGCGGGGGAAAAGTATTCACATCCCAAAAATCCTTCCCGGATCCTGGAATTCCACACCTGCACCCCAGGAATGCCGAAATTCCACGTGAATCCCTTGGAATTCCAAGGAATGCACAGGAATTCCTCAGCGCAGCCCCTCCTTCCCGGCCTTTCCCGCATGGAAAACAAAACCATGGGAATGTGGGAGCCGCAATTCCAAGCTGGGAATATTCCCGCTCTCCCTCTCCCGTCATTCCAGAGGCTCCAGCCCCGCGCCGTGCCGGGAATCCCAAAAAAAATCGCGGAGGAGGGAGAGGAGGAGAAGCTCCCAAAACTTTCTGGGAGGGGGGGGAAAAACTCGGGAATTCTCCGGCTGGTGGGGAATTCCCTTCCTCGGGAATAGGGATGGGGACCCACAGAGCACTGGCCCCAAAACCGGAGTGGGGACCCCAAAATCGGTATGGGAACCCCAAAACCAGTATGGGGACCCCAAAACCAGTATGGGGACCCCACAGAGTTCTGGCCCCAAAACCGGAGTGGGGACCCCAAAACTGGGATGGGGGATCCCAAAACCGGGATTGGGGATCCCAAAACCGGGATGGGGGAACCCACAGAGTTCCACCCCCAAAACCGGGATGGGGACCCCGAAACCGGGATTGGGGATCCCACAGAGCTCCGGCCCCAAAACCGGAAGGGGAACCCCAAAACCAGGATGGGGACCCCAAAACCAAGAGTAGGGACCCCACAGAGTTCTGGCCCCAAAACCGGGATGGGGACCCCAAAACCGGGATTGGGGACCCCAAAACGGGATTGGGGATCCCACAGAGCTCCGGCCCCAAACCAGAATGGGGTCCCCAAAACCAGGAGTGGGGATCCCACAGAGCTCTGGCCCCCAAAACCGGGATGGGGACCCCAAAACCGGGATGGGGGATCCCAAAACCGGGATGGGGGATCCCAAAACCGGGATGGGGGATCCCAAAACCGGGATGGGGGATCCCAAAACCGGGATTGGGTATCCCACAGAGCTCCGGCCCCAAAACCGTGAGGGGAGCCCCAAAATCGGGGTGGGGACCCCAAAACCGGGAACGGGGACCAACGGAGCACTGGCCCAAAACCAGGAGTAGGGACCCCAAAAACAGGATCGGGACCCCAAAACTGCACAACAGGACTGGGAACCCCACAAAGCTGCAGTCCCAAAACCAACCCGGGGACCCCACAGAGCTGCAGCCCCACAGCCAAACTGGGGATCCCAAAGCGCTGCAACCCCATAACGGGCCAGGGGACCCCAAAGGGCTGAAGCCCCACAGCTGGGCTGGAGACCCCAAAAGCTGCAGCCCCACAGGTGGGCAGGACACCCCAAAAACTGCAGCCCCACAACCACACCGGAGACCCCACAGAGCTGCAGCCCCACAACCAGATTGGAGACCCCAAAAGCCACAGCCCCACGGGTGGGCAGGACACCCCAAAAGCCGCAGCCCCACAACCAGACTAGAGACCCCACAGCTCTGCAGCCCCAAAAGTGGGCTGGAAACCCCAGAGCCCTGCAGCCCCACAACCAGATTGGACACCCCAAAAGCCACAGCCCCACAGCTGGACTGGAAAACCCAGAGTCCTGCAGCCCCACAACCAGATTGGAGATCCCAAATACCACAGCCCCACAGGTGAACAGGACACCCCACAGCCCTGCAGCCCCACAGGTGGGCAGGACACCCCAAAAAGCCACAGCCCCACAAGTGGGCAGGACACCCCAGGATTCTGCAGCCCCACAGGTGGGCAGGACACCCCAAAAACTGCAGCCCCACAAACAGGCTAGAGACCCCAAAAGCTGCAGCCCCACAGGTGAGCTGGACACCCCAAAAACTGCAGCCCCACAACCAGACTGGAGACCCCAAATGCCACAGCCCCACAACCAGATTGGACACCCCAAAAACCACAGCCCCACAGGTGGGCTGGAAACCCCAGAGCTCTGCAGCCCCACAACCAGACTGGAGACCCCAAAAGCCACAGCCCCACAGGTGAACAGGACACCCCACAGCCCTGCAGCCCCACAGATGGGCAGGACACACCAAAAACTGCAACCCTACAACCAGACCGGAGACCCCACAGCTCTGCAGCCCCACAGGTGGGCTGGAGACCCCAAAAGCCGCAGCCCCACAGGTGAGCTGAACACCCCAATCCCTCCACCCCACACCTGAGCTCTCCCCACCCCTCCCTCCATCCCTCCCTCCCTCCCTCCATCCCAACCGCGGCCCCGCCGCTGCCGCATCCAGCACCGGGAGCATCCCCCGCCGCTCCTCCCGCCCTCCCGGCGCGGCCGCTCCCGGTGTCCGCGCCGCCGCTCCCGGTGTCCCCGCTCACCCTTGACGGCCTCTCCGCGGTTGAGCTGGATCTCGCCATCGCCCTGCGGCGCGTAGCTCTTCACCACGATGAACTTGCGGCCGGGCACGGCGCTGTAAAGCTTCCGCTTGGGCCCGCGCAGCGGGGCGGGCGCGGCGTGGGGTGCGGGCTCGGTACCGGGACCGGCGGGCGGCGCGGCGGGGCCGGCGGGGCTGTAAACGAACACGTAGGTGACGGTGCTGATGCCCGGCCGGCTCGCCATGGCCGCGGGTGTTCCCCGCGGGGCTCGGGGTGTTCCCCGCGGGGCTCAGCGCGGCCCCGGCGGTGCCGCCCGGGCGCGGGCAGCGGCGGAGGCCGGAGCGGTACCGGCTGCGGGGCGGCCGCCGCCCGCCACCGCCGGCTCCATGGCGCAGCGGCGCCGCCCGCCCCGCGCTCCGCTCCGCTCCCTCCGGCGCACCATGGCCCGGGGCAGGTGGGGCCGGGGCCCGCGGCTCCTCCCACGGCGGCGGGGACGCCGCCGCACCGGCCGCCCCCGCTCCCGCCGCTCCCGCCGCCGCCGCCGCCGCCGCCCTCGCTGCCGGCGCGGTCCTGACCCGGCTCCCGCATCCCGCTCCTGGTCCCGCATCCCGCTCCTGGTCCCGCATCCCGCTCCTGGTCCCGGTCCCAGATCCTGCTCCCGGTCCCGGGGCCGATCCCGCTCCCGCTCCTGGTCCCGGTCCCGCATCCCGCTGCTGGTCCCGGGGCCGATCCCACTCCCGGTCCCGATCCCGGATCCCGGTCCCGGTACCGAGCCCGCATCCCGCTCCCGCTCCTGGTTCCGATCCCGGATCCCGCTGCTGGTCCCGATCCCAGATCCCGCTCCTGGTCCCGATCCCAGATCCTGCTCCTGGTCCTGATCTCGGATCCCGCTCCTGATCCCGATCCCGCATCCCGCTCCTGCTCCTGGTCCCGATCCCGCTCCTGGTCCCGATCCCAGATCCCGTTGCTGGTCCCGATCCCGCATCCCGCTCCTGCTCCTGGTCCCGATCCCACATCCCGCATCCCGCTCCCGCTCCCGATCCCGGGGCCGATCCCAGATCCCCCTCCTGGTTCCGATCCCGCATCCCGCTCCTGGTCCCGATCCCAGATCCCGCTCCTGGTCCTGATCTCGGCTCCCGCTCCTGGTCCCTATCCCGCATCCCGCTCCTGGTCCTGATCCCAGATCCCGCTCCTGGTCCCGATCCCGCATCCCGCTCCTGTTCCCGATCCCGGATCCCGCTCCCGGTCCCGATCCCGCATCCCGCTCCTGGTCCCGATCCCGGCTCCCACTCCTGGTCCCAGGGCCGATCCCGCATCCCGCTCCTGGTCCTGATCCCGCATCCCGCTCCTGGTTCCGATCCCAGATCCCACTCCCGCTCCCGATCCCAGAGCCCGCTCCTGGTCCCAATCCCACATCCCGCTCCTGGTCCCGATCCCAGATCCCGCTCCTGGTCCCGAGGCCGATTCCGGATCCCGCTCCAGCTCCCGCTCCTGATCCCGATCCCGCTCCCGGCTCCTGATCCCAATCCCGCTCCTGATCCCAATCCCGCTCCCGGGACTTTCAAGCAGCACCCGCATTCCCGTGTGGGAGTGGGAATGGGAATGGGACTGGGACCATGCCAGAGCCATCGTGGGACCCATCCCAATCCCATTCCTGATCCCGGGACCGATCCCAATCCCGCTCCCAGTCCCGATCCCATTCCTGATCCCGGGACCGATCCCAATCCCGCTCCCAGTCCCGATCCCATTCCTGATCCCGGGCCCGATCCCGATCCCGCTCCCAGTCCCGGTGGGGCCCGCCCGGAGCCGCCCCCTGGCGGCCGCTGCCGGTGCTGCCGCGGGATTGGGAATGGGAATGGGAATGGGAATGGGAATGGGAATGGGAATGGGAACGGGAATGGGAGTGGGAATGGGAATGGGAGTGGGAATGGGATGGGAATGGGAATGGGAACGGGAATGGGAGTGGGAATGGGAATGGGAGTGGGAATGGGATGGGAATGGGAATGGGAATGGGAGTGGGAGTGGGAATGGGATGGGAATGGGATGGGAGCGGGATGGGAGCGGGATGGGAACGGGATGGGAATGGGATGGGAATGGGAATGGGAATGGGATGGAATGGGATGGGAACGGGATGGGAGGAAGGAGGGAGAGAAGCAGGGAGGGTCCCCAGGCCCCATTCCCGGTTCGGGGGTTCTCACTGTGCCCCTAATTCCACATCTGCCCCAAAATTCCATATTTTTCCACCCCAATTGCATATTTAACCCCCTCCCCCAGTTTTTGAGTAGTAACTGCAGGAAATCCAGGAACTACAGGAATTCCAGGGATTTCGGGAACTACGGGAATTCCAGGGATTTCAGGAATTGTGGGAACTGCGGGAATTCCAGGGATTGCAGGAATGCTCCGAGGGGGTAGAGCCCTGTGCCAACCTATGCCCCGATGTCACCTGTGCCACCCTGTGCCCACTGTCACCTGTGCCACTCTGTGCCTTAGTGCCTCTTGTGCCATCCCTGGGTGCCATTGTCACCTGTGCCACCCTGTGCCCTCTGTCACCTGTGACACCCGGTGCCTTAGTGCCTCTTGTGCCATCCCTGGGTGCCACTGTCACCCGTGCCAATCTGTCCCCAATGCCACCTATGACATCCTGTACCCCAATGCCACTCGTGACAATCTGTGCCCGCTGCCACCCTCTGCGACACTCTGTGCCACTGTCACCTGTGCCAACCTGTGCCCCGGTGCCACTCGTGCCATCCCTGGGTGCCATTGTCACCTGTGCCACCCTGTGCCTCGGTGCCACTCGTGCCATCCCTGGGTGCCATTGTCACCTGTGCCACTCTGTGCCCACTGTCACCTGTGCCACCCGCTGCCCTCCCGCTGTGCACAGGGGTGGGGAGAAAAATTCCATGAGGAGAAAAATTCCATGAGGAGAAAAATTCCATGAGGAGAAAAATTCCATCGGCAAAAAATTCCATGAGGAGAAAAATTCCATCGACAAAAAATTCCACGAGGAGAAAATTCCATGAGGAAAAAATTCCATTGGCAAAAAATTCCATGAGGAGAAAAATTCCATCGGCAAAAAATTCCATGAGGAAAAAAAAAAATTCCAGGAGCGAAGCTGCCCGGATGGGGTTGGAGTTTTTCCATGGGAACGAATTCCCGGGAGTTTTTCCAGCAGAGTTTTCCCTTCATCCCTTTTATCTCCCCACACCGGGCCCGCATTCCATGAATCCCTCAGCTCATCCCGGATTTCTCCACGCTCCGTGCCCACATCCTCCTGCCGGGATTCCCACGGGATTCCGAAGGGAATGGGAATTCTGGGAAGGAGCAGCAGCTCTTCCTCCAGCCCTGGGTTTTGTGTTCCATGGAATTTTTCTCCTCCATCCCGTTGGAATTCCAGGTGGGATTGATGGGATTCCGTGTCTGCTTCCAGGGAATTCCAGCCCGTGGAAGAGTCCAGCTGGATTTGGATTTGGATTCCATTGGGAATTGTCCCATTCCAGGCTGGAAAAGCTTCTTTGGGAATAAACTTGGAATAAACCCCCAGAGAATTCCCATTCCAGGGGGACAAACGGGCTGTGATATTCCCAAAAATTGCTTCCGACGCATCCAAAGATCCCAAAAATCCAGGATGTTTTCATTTCCACGGGATTTCATGGGAATGATCAGAAGTGAATTCCAGGGGCAGGATTCCGGGATTGGTTCAAAAAAACCCGCTTCCCTTGGGAATTCCCAGAATTCCCGGATCTATTTTCCAGGATTCCTGACCCCTCTTTCCCAGGGAAAGGAGCCCAAATCCCGGGAAGAGCATCTGGAAGGAGGCTCATCCTGGAAAAAGAGGATCAGGAGGGATCTTCTCCCTCCGGAATTCCACGGCAGAGGCGGCAGCCGGCCGGGATTTGGGATCTGCTCCCAGGAAATCCCAGGGAACAGCCTCCAGCTGTGCCAGAGGAATTTTAAATTGGATATTGGGAAAAATCCCTGAGTTTTCACACAGAATTAGGGAAAGATTCCTGAATTCCCACAGAACCAGGGAAAATCCCTGAATTCCCAAACATAATTAGGAAGAATTCTTGAATTCCCACCGGATCAGGGAAATTCCTGAATTTTTCACACAGAATTAGGGAAGAATTCCTGAATTCCCACTGAATTAGGGAAATTTCCTGAATTTTCCCACAGAATGAGGAAGAATTCCTGAATTCCCACTGAATTAGGGAAATTCCTGCTCTTAGGAGAATTTCTGGCATTCTCCATCCCCGCACTTGGACACGGTTCCAGGATTTCCAACCCGGTTTTCCAAGATTTCTGATGCCTCTTTTCCAGCATTTCTGACTCTGCTTTCCAGGTTTTCCAATGCCCATTTTCTTGGATTTCCAACCCTGTTTTCCAGGATTTCCGTCCACTTTTTCCCAGGCTGGCGGGATCTGCTGGTGGCCATGGATCCAACTTCAGCCCCAGAGATTCCCCATCATTCCCAGGATTTTTTTCCCAGCATTTCCAGGATCTTTCTCCCAAAGTTTCCAGATGATTTCCCCAACATTTCCAGGATTCTTCTCCCAACATTTCCAGGATTCTTCTCCCAACATTTCCAGGATTCTTCTCCCAACATTTCCAGGATTCTTCTTCCAACATTTCCAGGATGATTCTCCCAACATTTCCAGGACTGTTATCCCAAAATTTCCAGCATCCTTTCCCTAAATTTTCCAGGATTTTTCCCCCAACATTCCCAGGATCTTTTCCCCAAAGTTTCCAGGAAGGTTTCCCTGACATTTCCAGGATTGTTCTTCCATTTCCAGGATGATTCTCCCAACATTTCCAGGATTGTTCTTCCAGCGTTTCCAGGATCCATTCCCCGAAGTTTCCAGGGTCTCTTCTCAACATTCCCGGGATCTCTTCCCAACATTCCTGGGAATTCTCCATGGACAGCCACACCTTTCCCTATCCCAGGTTGCTCCAAACCCCATCCAACCCATCCCTGGGCACTTCCAGGGGTGGGATTTGACTCCAAACACCTCCTGGAAACTTGGAATTGTTCCTGGACAAATCCAAACATCTGCATCCCACCGGGAAATGCCCACGGAGGGAATTCCCACAATTCATTTCATTCCCTAAATCCAACAGCGGTGGGGAAAAAAAAATCCCAGGAATTGCTGGGAATTCCTGGTGTTCCTTTGGCTGAGGGCAGAGAGGGAAAACTTCCCTGTGTGTGTGGAAATTCCAAGGTGCTGAAATCTGGGATAAATGGGGACATTTTGGGAATATCCCACCTGGAAAGGAGCAGCAGGAATGAAGGAAGGAATTTGGGATGAGCCTGGCCAGACACATCGGGAATGTTGAGGAGGGATTAAAGCATTCCAAGAATTACATTGGAAATTCTGGTTGTGTGTCCAGGAGAGGGGAAAAAATGGGAATAAGGAAAACTGGAGGAATTCACACACTGAATTCCCTTGGGGAAAAAAAAAGCCTGGAGCAAAAACCTGGATGGAAGAAATGTGGGATCACAGGGAATTGCCATGGATTGGTGGGAAAAGGAGCTGATCCCAAAAATCCCGGCTCTTCCCAGATACAGGGGATGATTCCCTGCTCCAAAGCCTTTCCCAAAATGGGAATATCTGGGATGTGCTGGGCAGGAAAACCAGGATGGATCCAGGATCCTTCCCAAATCCAGAGGGCTCCAAAAACCGGGAATGAGGCTGGGATGAACGTAAGGAATGAAATATCCGGAGGGATGATCCCGGCACGAGGAGTTGGATGGGGAAACTCGTGGTGTCGGAGTGGGATTGGGAAAAGCGCGGAGGCTCCGGAGGCTCCGGCACGCGGGGAATGAGTCAGAGTCACGGCCGGGAGGGAGGGAGGGAGGAGGGATCCAACTGAAACCTGGAAAAAACACATGGAAAAGTTCTGCTGGCCCAGCCCTGCTGCTCCTGGGAATGGCTGAGGGATCCCCTGGAATTCCGGGAGCAGGAAAAGGGAAGGGAGGGAGCTGGGAAAGGGGCTGGAAAACACCCCATGGAATAAAAAACTGGGACAACACTAAATATTCCTGATATTCCCTGAAAAATCTGACCCAGAATCCATTTTTCTCCGGGATTTTTCCAGGAAAATGTGGGAAGACTCCGGTTGTAATGGATATCCCTTGCCGTGGAGTGAAGGAGTTTTTGTTGGGAATTAAAACTTCTGAGGTTTTTTTTTTTCCAACTTGAACTGTTCCGATTGCAAACTGGGAATTTCTCCTGCCCCAGCTCCATGAAATGAATTCCCCGACCCCTCTATCCCTGGAAAAACCTAGAAATAATGGAGGAAAATGCTCTTTCCTAGGGATATTTTTCATGGAAAAGGTTGGGAATCATGGAGCAAGCTCCAGGAATCCTCGGGAAGTTTGGACAAGGATTTGGGCAGTGCTGCTCCAGGGAATTTTGGGAATATTTCCAAGACTATGGATTTTTAATTCCCACACTATTTTTGACCTCCTGATGCCTTTGGATCCCACTCTGGATCTGCCTCCGGCACATCCCTAATTCCTGAGCTTCCCAAATTCCAAGGCCAGGTTGGAGCAACCTGGGATAACGGGAGGTGTCTCTGCCCTTGGAATGGGGTGGAATTGGATGCTTCCCATTCCAGGATTCCACAATTCCAACAGAATCCTCCAAATCCAAATCCGGACCCCGCGGGCACCGCAGGGTTATCCCAAAATCCCCAGACACGTCAGGGACACCGGAACCAGTGACTGTTCCCAATCCCAGGCAAACCAATATTCCCATGGGATGTGGTTGGCAGGGATGAGGAGCAGTGGGATAGCGCCAGATCCAATCCCAATCCCAATCCCAATCCCAATCCCAATCCCAATCCCAATCCCAATCCCAATCCTAATCCTAATCCTAATCCTAATCCTAATCCTAATCCTAATTCCAATCCTAATCCCAATCCCAATCCCAATCTTAATCCTAATCCTAATCCTAATTTAAATCCTAATCCTAATCCTAATCCTAATCCTAATCCTAATCCTAATCCTAATCCTAATCCTAATCCTAATCCCAATCCCAATCCCAATCCCAATCCCAATCCCAGCAGAGCCACCAGATGTGATGCGCACTATATCCATGTAACCCAGAATATCCATGAATCCATGAGATCCATGGTATCCATTATCCGAGCATGGGACGGAGCGAAAAGCCAGGGAAAAACCCAGGGAAAAGCCAAATCTGACACTGGGATCACTGGGATGAGGAGGGATGGATGGAGGGAAAAACCCAGGGAAAATCCAGGGAAAAACGGGATCTGACCTTGGAATAGCAGGAAAACCCCATGGAAAACCCAATGATCCACCATAACCCCGCTCCTCATCGGAACAACAAACCTTTCCCAGTCTTCCCTCTTTCCACCCCATATCCCACATCCCCCCAGTTCATGGGATCATATTCCCATCTCTAACTCCTCCCAAACCCTCCAATCCATGGGATCCCATTCCCAATTCTAATTCTTTCCACACCCCCTCAATCCATGGGACAGTGTTCTTAACTCCATCTAATTCCTTACGCACTCTCCCAATCCACCGGATCCCATTCCCATCTACAACTTCTCCCACACCCCAACCCATTCCACGGGATCGTATCCCCATCTCCAACCCCTCCCACACCATAATCCAATCCATGGGATCCATTCCCAGCTCTAATTCCTTCCACATGCCCCCAGTCCATGGGATCCATTCCCATCTCCAACTCCTCCCACACCCCAACTCACCCCATGGGATCCCATTCCCATCTCCAACTTCTCCCACATGCCCCAATCTATGGGATCCCATTCCCAGCTCTAATTCCTTCCACATGCCCCCAGTCCATGGGATCCCATTCCCATCTCCAACCCCTCCCACATCCCCCAATCTATGGGATCCATTTCCAACTCTAATTCCTTTCACACTCTCCGAATCCACGGGATCCCATTCCCATCACTAACACCTCCCGCACCCCAACTCAATCCATAGGATCCATTCCCATCTCCAACTCCTCCCACATCCCAACTCAATCCATGGGATCCATTCCCATCTCCAACTCCTCCCACATCCCCCAATCTATGGGATCCATTTCCAACTCTAATTCCTTTCACACTCTCCGAATCCATGGGATCCATTCCCATCATTAACACCTCCCACATCCCAACCCATTCCACGGGATTGTATTCCCATCTCCAACTTCTCCCACATCCCAACTCAATCCATGGGATCCCATTCCCATCTCCAACTCCTCCCACATCCCAATCCAATCCATGGGATCCCATTTCCATCACTGACACCTCCAACATCCCCCAGTCTATGGGACCCGTTTCCAACTCTAATTCCTTTCACACTCTCCGAATCCACGGGATCCCATTCCCACCACTAACACCTCCCACACCCCAACTCAATCCATGGGATCCCATTCCCAGCTCTAATTCCTTCCACACGCCCCCAGTCCACGGGATCCCATTCCCATCTCCAACTCCTCCCACACCACAACCCAATCCATGGGATCCCATTCCCATCTCCAAATTCTCCCACATCCCAACCCTATCCACGGGATCCCATTCCCATCTCCAACCCCTCCCGCCCCCAGCCCGAACCGCGGGATCCCATTCCCATCTCCAACCCCTCCCGCACCCCAACCCAATCCACAGGATCCATTCCCATCACTAACACCTCCCACACCACAACCCAATCCATGGGATCCCATTCCCATCTCCAACCCCTCCCGCCCCCAACCCAAACCGCGGGATCCCATTCCCATCTCCAACCCCTCCCACATCCCAACACAATCCACGGGATCCATTCCCATCTCCAACCCCTCCCACACCCCAACCCTATCCGCGGGATCCCATTCCCATCTCCAACCCCTCCCGCCCCCAGCCCGAACCGCGGGATCCCATTCCCGATCCCACACCTGGCTTTCCCGCGGCTGCTCCGGCGCAGCGAGGGCACCTCGGCCTCCCTCTCCTCCTGCACGCGCTGCAGCGAGGGCGAGCGGCTGTGGGCGCTGCGGGCGCTTCCCGAGCTGGCCAAGCTCCCGTCTCCGGTCCCCATTCCGGAGGCCGCGATCCCGGCGGCCGCTTCCTGCATCTGGACCAGGAGCTGCGGCGGGAGGCTCCGGAGGGACGGCACCGGGGAATACGAGGAGCGGCTCTCGGCCTTCAGGTTGTTGTCGCTGGCCGAGCGCTGGAGGACGCGCGGTGACGCCAACCCGCCGGAGCCGAGGAGCCGGCGGCGCTTGGTGTAGCTGGGAGTTTCTCGGAAAGGCACTGGGAATGAAAAGCGGGAATGCGGGGTTAGGGCGCTGGGAGTTGGGGGGAAAAGATGGATGAGGGTGGGGGAGAAGGTTGGGAATGGGTGGGGAGTTGGGTTGGGAGATCCTTGGAAAGGCACCGGGGAAAAAAAGGGGAAAATGAGATTAGGTGGGAATCTAAGGCCCTAAAAAGATGGGAATATGGGATTAGGTTTTGGGAATATAGTTGTGGAAAAAGATGGAAGAGAAGGTTGGGAATGGGTGTGGAGTTGGGTTGGGAGTTCCTTGGAAAGGCACTGGGGAAAAAAAAGGGGAAAATGAGATTAGGTGGGAATCTAAACTCCAAAAAAGATGGGAATATGGGATTGGGTGGGAATCTAAGGCCCAAAAAAAATGGGAATATGGGATTGGGTGTTGGGAATGTAGTTGTGGAAAAAGATGGAAGAGAAGGTTCAGAATGGGTGTGGAGTTGGGTTGGGAGTTCCTTGGAAAGGCACCGGGGAAGAAAAAGGGGAAGATGAGATTAGGTGGGAATCTAAACTCCACAAAAGATGGGAATATGGTATTGGGTGGGAATCTAAGGCCCAAAAAAGATGGGAATATGGGATTGGGTGGGAATCTAAGGCCCAAAAAAGATGGGAATATGGGATTGGGTGTTGGGAATGTAGTTGTGGAAAAAGATGGAAGAGAAGGTTCAGAATGGGTGTGGAGTTGGGTTGGGAAGAAGGCTGGGAGTTTCTTGGAAAGGCCCTGGGAATAAAAAATGGGAAAATGGGATTAGGTGGGAATCCAAACCCCCAAAAAATGGGAATACGGGATTGGGTGTTGGGAGCGTGGTTGTGGGAAAATATGGAAGAGGGTGGAGGAGAAGGAGGGTTGGGAATTCTTGTAGAGCTGGGTTGGGAATTCCTGGGAAGAAGGGAATGGTCTCCATCTGCTCCCAGCTCCTCTCCCAGCACTGGGAATCCATGGAATCCAACCATGGATCAGCACCGGGAAGGGTTTGGAAGTGGAATCTCAGGAAGCTCTGATGGACTAAGCCAGGACCAGTGGAATTCCAAGAGTCCGGCTGCCACCAGGATCGGCACTTCCGCAAATCCCAGCTGCTCCTCCTATCCCAAGTCCTTATTCCATAGCTCCAGGAATGTGCCAAGAGAAAGATGGGAATATCCAACACATGGAATAAATCACCAACAACTCCCCACCCTGAATTCCCTCCCAATCCTTGGGAATGCCAGGGAAAAGTGACCGCTCGGATCCAGCTGGAAGTGCAAACTCCAGCTCCACTGAGGGACCGGGAGTGGAATCCCCATCCTGGAGGGATTTCAAGTGGAATTTGGGGACACGGATCAGTGGTGGCCTTGGAAGTGCTGGGAATTCTTGGATTCAATGTCTTAAAGGACTTTTCCAGCCAAAAAAATTCCATGATCAATAAAACGGATCCAGATGTTCCGGAAAGGGAAGAGGTTCAACCGTGGGGTCTCTGCACTCCAAACTTCCAGGAAAATGGGATTTTCCAATATTTTGTTTAATGAGCTCGTTCCCATCCTGAAGTTTAAAATCCCTAAAATTTGTCTGGTGCCTGTGGCAAAATCCAGCGGGAAATCTGGAATCACCCACATCCAGCCCATTCCTGCTGCCAAAATATCGGGAAAAACACAGATTGCTCCCACTCCAAGCTGGAACAGGAGACAGGGAACAGGGAATTCCAAGCCCTCTGGATCTGGGATATTCCCAGAGCCGCCATTCCAAGGCCACCGCTCCTATGTCACCTTCCAGAGGTGAACCCTGAGGATGCTCCGAGGCCACCAGGAGAAGGAAAATCCCGGGATTTGGATGGAGCAGCCCAGGCTGAGCACGGCCATGCTCGGAATATTTTCCCGAGGAATATTTGAGGTTCAAAGTCCGAGGATTTCAGGCTCCTGGAACTCTTCCCGTTGCCGTGGCAACGCCAGGCGTTCGTTCTCCGATGAGTTCCAACCTCGGGTGTGGGAATTTCTCCCGACACCGGCGTTTCCCGGATCCTGTCGGCACCCCCTGCCCTCAGCGCCCACATCCGGCCATTCCCAAGGGGAAAACTGGACAAAATTACGGAATTTCGGAGCCATTGGGGTTGGAAAAGCCCTGCCAGGCAATGAAATCCAACCAACGCAAAAGCCACCACTGATCCGTGTCCCCAGGTGCCACCAGCGAGGATTAATGTCCCACCAAGGACATCCCAATGGGAAAATTGGGTCAAAACTATGGAATTTTGGAGCCAGAGGGGTTGGAAAAGCTCTCCCAGAAAATAAAATCCAATTGGTACAAGGCCACCACTGATCTGTGTCCCCAAGGGCCACCAGGAAGGAGGAATGTCCCAGTAGGACCATCCCAATGGGAAAGCTGGACCAAAATTATGGAATTTTGGGGCCACATTCCAGTGGGATAGCCGGACCAAAATGATGGAATTTCAGAGCAAAAGGGGTTGGAAAAGCCCTCTCAGAAAATGAAATCCAACCACTGCAAGGCCACCACTGATCACTGTCCCTGGGGGCCACCAGAAGTGGGATGTCCCACCAAGGCCATCCCAAAGGGAAAGCTGGGCCAAAATTATGGAATTTTGGTGACAAAAGGTGTTGGAAAAGCCCTCCCAGAAAATAAAATCCAATCGATGCAAGGCCACCACTGATCCGTGTCCCCAAGGGCCACCAGGAAGGAGGAATGTCCCAGCAGGACCATCCCAATGGGAAAGCCGGACAAAATGATGGAATTTCAGGGCCACATCCCAATGGGATAGCCGGACCAAAATTATGGAATTTCAGAGCCAAAGGGGTTGGAAAAACCCTCTCAGAAAATGAAACCCAACCACTGCAAGGCCACCACTGATCCCTGTCCCCGGGGGCCACCGGAAGTGGGATGTCCCACCAAGGCCATCCCAATGGGAAAGCAGGGCCAAAATTATGGAATTTTGGTGACAAAGGGGTCGGAAAAGCCTTCCAAAAAATGAAACCAAATTGATGCAAGGCCACCACTGATCCCTGTCCCCGGGGGCCACCAGAAGTGGGATGTCCCACCAAGGCCAGGTGTCACCGAGGCACGGGACACACCTCCTGGAGATGTTTCATTTGGGACTCCATTGCTCCTTACAGAAAATCCCTGGAAAAAAATTTGGGAAGTAAAAGTCCTGCCTGAGGATCTTCCCAAGAGGGAGCGGCCTCAAGCTGCCAGATTCCCAATTATTTGGAAGTTTTCCTTATCCCACCCTCTGGAATCCACAAGGATGGGAAAGGAGAGAAGATGATGGTGGTGATGGTGATGAAGAACTGCCAAGCCTGAATTCCTGGATTCAGAACCAGGACATTCCCAGATTTCCAGTTCTATGGAATGTTTCCTCATCCCACCCTCTGGAATCCACAATTCCCAATGGGAAAAACCGGGACGGAAGAGATGATGGTGGTGAAGATGATGATGATGAAGAAGAACCACCAAGTCCAAACTCCAGGATCCAGAACCAGGACATTCCCAGATTTCCAATTCTATGGAATATTTCCTGGGAATATTACAGTTCCCAGTGGGAAAATCCCAGGAAGGAGACAACAAAGGAACAAAACTCGGAGCAATTCCCGCAACGAGCTCCGGATATTCCTTCCCACACCTTTCCCAGACTTTATTCCAAGTCTGTTTACCGAGTTTCTCCCGGCAAAACGAATCCCGTCCGTTACCATGACAGCGCCGCTCGGAGCAGCCCGATCCCTGTTTTCCAAAGGAAAACACGGATCCCTGTTTTCCAAAGGGGTCTGGATGCTCCCTGATGGGAGCAGGACACACCCAAAGCTCCCTGAGGAATTCCCAGCCTGGAGATGCCTCCAGAGGCTCCCGAAAATTCCTGGCAGCTGGAGGAAGGGAAGTGCAATCAGCGCTCCGAGGTTTGTTTGGATTCGCTGCTTCCATGATAAATATTCATGGAAAAGCACGAGGAGTGCAAATGTCTGTTCGCTTCCAGGCCACGATTCCATTTTCATCCTGGAAAATTCCACAGGGAAGTGGAGAAGGAGCCTGGAATGGCCCAGAGGGGAAAAGGGAACCAGCGGCTCCCAAAGTGCAGAATTCCCACATTTCCCAGAATGGAGAATTCCCATGGCATTCCCCCACCTGGAGAATTCCCACATTTCCCAGACTGGAAAACTCCCCCAGCACTTTCCAGCCTGCAGAATTTCCAGGGCATTTCCCGGACAAGACTAGAAAATTCCCATGGAATCTCCCAGACTGGAAAATTCCCATGGCATTTTCCAAACTGGAGGATTCCCATGGAATTTCCCAGACTGGAAAATTCCCATGGCATTTTCCAAACTGGAGGATTCCCATGGAATCTCCCAGACTGGAAAATTCCCATGGCATTTTCCAAACTGGAGGATTCCCATGGAGTCTCCCAACCTGCAGAACTCCCAGGGTATTTCCCAGACCGGAAAATTCCCATGGAATGTCCCAAACTGGAGAATTCCCACAACATTTCCAAGAACAGAAAATTCCCATGGTATTTTCCAAACTGGAGCGTTCCCAAGTCATCTCCCAAACTGGAGAATTCCCACATTTTCCAAACTGGAGAGTTCCCATGGAATGTCCTGAAGTGGAGAATTCCCAGGGCAAGAGGGAACAGGAAGTTCTGGCTCTGCTGAACGCTCCAGATCCCAAAGAAAACATGGATGAGCCTGGAATCCTCCTGGGAATATCCCACCCTTCCCCTCTCTGCACTGGGATCACCAAATCCCACCTCAACCCAGCCCAGCTTCCCACTGGGAATTCCATGGGAAAATCCCTCCACGAGCATCATTCCAAAACCAATCCCACCAAATTCCTTCAGTATTCCCATAAAACCCTGGGAAAAGGGCACAAGCAGGAGCCATTCCCTGCTCCGACAAAATTCCTCCGCTCCTGCCAAAATTCCAACCCCCATTTCCAAATCCTGACCCTAACCCAAACCCCAGTTTCCAACTCAAATTCCCAACCCCAATTTCCAAACCCTAATTCCCAGCCCCGATTTTTCCAAACCCCAATTTCCAACCCCTGATTTCCAAACCAAATTTTTCCAAATCCCAGTTCCCAAACCCCAGTTTCCAAACCCCAATTTCCAAACTAAATTCCCAAACTCCAATTCCCAACCCCCAATTTTTCCAACCCCCAATTCCCAACCCCCAATTTTTCCAAACCCCAATTCCCAACCCCCAATTTTTCCAACCCCCAATTCCCAACCCCCAATTTTTCCAACCCCCAATTCCCAACCCCCAATTTTTCCAACCCCCAATTCCCAAACCTAATTTCCAAACCCCGGGAAGCTCCCGGCCGCAGGTGGGACCATCTGGACCTGCTGCTCGGCTCGGAATTAATTTGGAATTCTTCCCTGACCTATTTTCTATCCGGAGCTGATTCCCAGAATTTCCATTGCTCCTGACAGTTTTCCGTGGTGGTTTTCCTGCTTTTTTTTTTTTTCCCCAAGGAAAATCACGGAGATACTCAGTGCCAGGTGCAGATCCCAAGGGGAATTTAGGCCGGACATTTGGAGGTCGTTTATTCCCCAACTTTTTTCTTGGATTAATTAATTCCATGATTTTGCAGGCAAAGGATATTCTCAGGTGCTTCCCAAAATCCTATCCCACCCCAAATTCCCAGTTCTGGCTATCAAGAATAGGGAGCTGGGAAAAAAAAAAAAAAAAAAACCAAAAAAAATGGGAGAAAGGATTTTTGGGATTGAGCCAAGCACAATTCCTGCTGCAAACTATGGAAGAACTGATCCCTGTTTTCCTTCATTTCAGTGTTTTCATGGAATTCCAGGAATTTGGGTGGGAAAGGACCTTAAATCCCATCCAATCCCACCCCTTCCCACGATCCCAGGCTGCTCCAGCCCTGGACATTCCAGGGATCTGGGGGCAGCCACAGGGAATTTTCTGGGAATTCTGTGCCATTCCCTCCCAGGCAGGAATTTTCTCCTGCTTTTTACATTTTTCCCCCTTTTTTTCCCCCTTTTTCCAGCTGCTGATCCCATGACTTCATTCCTGCATGCTGGAAATTCCCACTGCTCCCTCCATTGGCAGCTCTGAATCCGTAAATTCCTCAGGATAATCCAAGGAAATGCAACAAGTGTGGATTTTATTCCTGATCCAAACCCACCTTTTCATTTTTTCCATGGGGAAGATTGGAAAGGTGACACAAGGGATCAAAATTCCCAAAATATTCCTCAAAAAAGCAAATCCAACCAGAACAACACCCGCTTCATTCCTATTCCCAGAGGATTTTCCCTCCTTGTCCCAAATCCCAGGATTCTGGGAATTAAATCCCTCAGGGATGCAAAAAGAGAGGGAAAACCAGGATTTCACAGAAGAGCAAATCCAGGATAATTCCAGAGCTTGGGAATGTCAGCCAGGCTGGAAAAACAGCCTGAATCCCACAGGAATCACTCAGACACTTCCAAGATCCAAAGTGGCTGCAGCTTCCATGGATGCAGCACCGGGAAAATCCATGGATGCAAAACACCAGGAAAATCCATTATTTCCCCCCAGTCCATCCCTGGGATCAATAGGAAAGGAAAAAGAAAAAAAAAACGGGAAAACCGGGAAAAATCCAACTCACCAACATCGGACTCTTTGTGGGTTTTGATGATTTCCGCCAGCTCAAAATTCCCTGCAATGATGGCCACCTGGAAAAGAGCCGGAAAACCGGGATGAGCGGCTCCGGAGCTTCCATATGGATGGGAACAGCTGCTTTCCATGGGGGAAAGCCAAGGATTCTTCTGCCTCGGATCATCGGGAATTCCGAGGTGCCAAACGCCTTCCCGGGACAGCGGCCCAAGGAGGTTTGAGTGGCCCTGGCTTGGGGACAATCCCTGTCCTCTGGAATTCACAAATTCCAGCCAGGAATTCATCCCAGATCCTGGAATGTTCCCAGGGTGTCAAGTCCCCAAATTCCCAAATCCTGAAGTCTTCAAGTCTCCAAGTCCCCAAATCCTCAAGTCGTCAAATCCTCGATTCCCCAAATCCTCAAATTCCCAATTCCCCAAATCCTTAATTCTCCAAGTTCCCAAATCCCTAAATCCTCAAATCCCAAAGTCCCAAAATCCCTAATTCTCCAAATCCCCAAATTCCCAAATCTCCAGATGCTCATATCCTCAAATCCCCAGGTCCTCAAGTCCCCAAATTCCCAAATCCCCAAATCCTGAAGTCCTCAAGTCTCCAAGTCCCCAAAACCCCAAATTCCTCAATTCCCAAAGTCTCTAAATCCTCAAATGCCCAAATCCTGAAGTGCCCAAGTCCCCAATTCCCTAATTCTCCAAATCCCTAAATCCCCAAATCCTCAAATCCCTGATTCCCTAATTCCCGAAATCCCCAAACTCTAAATCCCTAAATCCTCCAATCTCCAAATCCTTAAGTACTCAAATCCCTAAATCCCCAAATCCTCCAAGGATTCTGCTCATTTTCCAAGGCTTCTGCCCCTTCTCCCAGGATTCTGCTCCTTTTCCAAGGATTCTCCTCCATCCCAAACATTCCCATCCCAAAAAACATCAACTTCCCCTTCCCACCTCCGTATCCCACAGAACCGCCACATTCCCATCCTTTTCCCGGAATTCCATTTGCTTTTTCCTCCCTCCTGGTCCGGCGCTGAACGCTCATCCCAAATCCCACCCCGGTGGGACAAATCCCACCTGGAAAAATCCCTGGATATGCGACAGAATTCCCGGGAATACCGGGAAGCTCCATGGGATTCCTGGGAATTCTGCTCACCTGGAATGCCGTCTGGCTGTTGTAATTCCGGATTTCCTTGCTGGCGCCTCGGAAGAGGAGAACCCGCGCACAGCTTTCCTGGGAAAAAAATAAACCAGGAAAAAACGGGAATTAGACCAGCATTGGGAGCAAAAGATCTGGAAAATTCTCTGGGAAGAAGGAGGATGAGCATTCCCTAAGGATTTGGTATTCCTGACCCTAAAGGAAGAAAGTTATGGAATCATGGAATTCCAGAATGGATTGGGTCGGAAGGAATCTTTGGGAACACCCAGATCCAAATTCCAAGGATTCTGCCTGTTTTCCAAGGGTTCTCCTCCTTTTCCAAGGATTCCGCCCTTTTTCCCAGGTTTCTCCTCCATCCCTATGGATTCTGCGCTTTTCCCAAGGATTAGGTTCCTTCTCCAAGGATTCTGTCCCAGCAAAACATTTTGGGAATGGGATTGATTAAACCATGGAATGTTCTCTTGGGAAATCCCAAACCAGGCTGGGGCTCCGAGGAGGAACGGCCTCATCCCAGGACAGGGATGGATTCCACCTCTGGATTTGGGAATGGTGGAGATCCAGGAGTGCCCTGGGCTGGTGCCACCTCACCCACGGTGTCCCTGTCCCCAAATCTCCCAGATTCCACCACGGGATGTTCTCCTGTGGAACCCAAACCCAGGAGCTCCAAGGAGGAACGGCCTCATCCCAGGACAGGGATGGATTCCACCTCTGGATTTGGGAATGGGGAGATCCAGGAGTGTCCTGGGGTGGTGCCACCTCCTCCATGATGTCCCCTGTCCCAAATCCCAGAGATTCAGCCCTGGGAACCAAACCCAGGAGCTCCGAGGAGGAACGGCCTTCACCCAAGGTCAGGGATGGATTCCACCTCTGGATTTGGGAATGGCGAGATCCAGGGTTGTCCCGGGGTGGTGCCATCTCCTCCACAGTGTCCCTGTCCCTGTCCCACCTGGTTGTAGAGGGCGCAGATGTGCAGGGCGGTGTTTCCTGAGGCGTTCTGCGCCGTCATGTCCGCTCCGTAGAACAGGAGGTGCTCCAGGTGCTGCACGTGTCCGTAGCGACAAGCCTGCTCCGGAAAACATGGAAAAGCGGGAATCAGGCAGCGGCCTGAGCCAGAGGAACATTCCCGGAAAAAAAAATCCCCTGCTGGATTCAGCCAGGCTTGGAAAGGTGGAATTTGGTGGGAATGGGGGTGGATCCTCACGGCTCCACCTGGATACCCGTGGGAGAAATCAGCTCCAGATCAACGGGAAAAGTTTGGATCATCTCGGATCCGGAACTCCTCCAGCTGGGTGGTGGCCTGGGATGAACTCAGTGCCCCAAATCTCTGGAAAATTGGGATGTTCTCCTCCAGGTTTGGTCCATCCCGAGATTCAGGGATCAGACGAGGAGGACGGAGGCAGCAGGGAGGGTTGGATCCAAAAATTGGGATCACAAGGACACATCCCTGGAGTTTTTATCCCCAGCTGGGTGTTGTGGGAGATATTCCAATGGGATCCCATCCCTCCTTCTCCCAAAGGATTGGGAATCACGAGGCTTGGGATTCTTGACTCCCAATCCAAGGGTTTCTCCAGATCCCCTTGGAGAAACGGGATTCCACGTGAAAAACAGGGATAGGCGCAACTGGGATTTGGATCTGGGATCCCAAAGTTCTCTGCAAGGTTGGAAGGTTGGTTGGAAGGTCCCAACCAAGAGGAGAGGCCAGAAAATCTGGGATGGAGGCAGAGCTGGCCCCATCCGGATGTCAATCCCAGGGATGGGACAACCCCATCCATGGACGGCATTCCCAGAGTCCAGCCCTCAGTCCAGGCACGGAATGATCCCATCCATGGGCACCAGGAGATCATTCCCAGAGCCCAACCCTCAACTCCAGGGATGGAACCACCCCATCCATGGGCACCAGGAGAACATTCCTGCAGTCCAGCCCTAAACCTCAGGCATGGAATTACCCCATCCATGGACAACATTCCCATGGATGGATCCCATCCCCGCAGATCTTGTTCCACCTGGTGGACCTCCATCCATGAGCACCAGGAGAACATTCCCACAGTCCAACCCTCAATCCCACGGATGGAACCACCCCATCCATAAGCACCAGGAGAACATTCCCATGTCCGGATCCCATCCCCGCAGATCCCGTCGCACCTGGTGGATCTCCTGCCCTCCATCACCTGGTGGATCTCCATCCATGAGCACCAGGAGAACATTCCCACAGTCCAGCCCTCAATCCCAGGGATGGAACCACCCCATCCACGAGCACCAGGAGAACATTCCCAGAATCCATCTTTCAATCCCAGGGATGGAACCACCCCATCCATGGGCACCAGGAGAACATTCCCAGAATCCATCTTTCAATCCCAGGGATGGAACCACCCCATCCATGGGCACCAGGAGAACATTCCCAGAATCCAGCTCTCAATCCCAGGGATGGAATTACCCCATCCATGAGCACCAGGAGAACATTCCCAGAATCCAGCCCTCAATCCCACAGATGGAACCATCTCATCCCTGAGCACCAGGAGGACATTCCTGTGTCCGGATCCCATTCCTGCAGATCCATCCCAGGGATGGAACCACCCCATCCATGGGCACCAGGAGAACATTCCCAGAATCCAGCCGTCAATCCCAGGGATGGAACCACCCCATCCATGGGCACCAGGAGAACATTCCCAGAATCCAGCTCTCAATCCTGGGGATGGAACCACCCCATCCATAAGCACCAGGAGAACATTCCCAGAATCCAGCCCTCAATCCCAGGGATGGAACCACCCCATCCACGAGCACCAGGAGGACATTCCCATGTCCGGATCCCGTTCCCATGGATCCCGTCCCACCTGGTGGATCTCCTGCCAGCCGTTCTCGTCCACGCAGCCCAGGCGGGCGTGGTCGTGCAGCAGCAGCTCGCAGCAGTAGGGGTCCCCGCCCACCATGGCGCTGTGGTACAGCGGGGTCAGCCCCCGGCTGTCCTTGTAGTCCGGGGACGCTCCCAGATCCAGCAGCGTCTGCCCGGGAAACAGGGAATGCTCCCGTGGGAATGGGGAACGGTCCCGTGGGAATGGGGAACAGTCCGGTGGGAATGGGGAACGGTCCCTTGGGAATGGGGAATGGTCCTATGGGAATGGGGAACAGCCCCTTGGGAATGGGAATGGTCCCATGGGAATGGGGAACGGCCCCTTGGGAACAGGGAAGGGAAGGGAAGGGAAGGGAAGGGAAGGGAAGGGAAGGGAAGGGAAGGGAAGGGAAGGGAAGGGAAGGGAAGGGAAGGGAAGGGAAGGGAGGAAGGGAAGGGAAGGGAAGGAAGGGAAGGGAAGGGAAGGGAAGGGAAGGGAAGGGAAGGAAGGGAAGGGAAGGGAAGGAAGGGAAGGGAAGGAAGGGAAGGGAAGGAAGGGAAGGGAAGGGGAAGGGAAGGGAAGGGAAGGGGGGAAGGGAAGGGAAGGGAAGGGAAGGAGGGAAGGGAAGGGAAGGGAAGGGAAGGGAAGGGAAGGGATGGAAAATCCCGGCACTGACCAGCAGGGCCGCGTGATTCCGACACCTCACGGCTTTGTGCAGCGCCGTCATTCCCTCGCGGGTCCGGAAATCCAGGTGGGCTCCGCCGTTCCGGAGCGCTTTGATCATCTCGGAGCTGAGCTCGAGCTGCGCCGCCGCCGTCAGCGGGCACTCTGGGAGGACACGGGAATGCAGGAAATCCATGGAATGTCCAGCACATCCACGGGAATCTCCCAGTGGGATCCCAGCTGGAAGCGCCCACAGAGATCTCCTCGGGGTTTGGGATCGGATCCATGGGAATGGAGGACAAATTTGGGAGCTGTTTGCTCCTGGGTATTCCCAAGGATCTCCTGAGCAGTGGGAATGGGAATTGGATGGAAAATTCTGGGATTAGGTGGAAAAGCAGACAAAATATCTTGGGAATGGGATCTGGGAAAGCATGGATTCTCCTTGGCCCCTTGGGAATTCCCAGATCCTGTGCTACTAATGGAAAAATCCTCGTCCCGGGATCAGGGGTGGATTCCAATCAGGAGAAACCACTGGATGCTCCCAACTTTCCTCGAGGTTGCTGCTTCAAATCCCACAAATCCCGCCGGAAATCCCAAGAATTCCAAGATTCCCTCATTCTCTTGGGATACAGATGGGATTTCCAGAGGAAAGTGGGAATTATAACGTTTAAGGAATGCCAGAGGTCTGGAAATTCCATGGATACAAAAGGGAAAGGAAAGGTTGGAATTCTGCATCCATGGCCAGTTTGTCCCGGCAGGAAATCATGGAAAAGGGGCTGGAATTGATGAGGGAATTAAGGAATGCTCGGGATCCAGAGTGGGAAAGATGCAATGGGAGAGAGTTTTGGACATTCCATGGGGATGTTCTGGATCCTTGGGATAAGGAAGGGAATGGAGCTGGGAAGGGGCTGGAAAACTCCCAGGGAGCTTTGGAGTGCCCATCCCTGGAGGTGCCCAAGGAATTCCTGGAATTCCACTCAGGGCTGGGATCAGGCCCAGCTTGGATTGGTGCCCTTGGAATTCTTTCCCAGCCTCAATAATTCCATGATTTGGAGAAGGGACATTCCAAGGTCATCTCATCCCTATGCATACGATCATTCCAATCCCGTTCCAATCCCACCATCCCAGGCTGCTCCAGCCTTTCCTTGGACATTCCAGGGATCCAGGGGCAGCCCCAGCTGCTCTGGAAATCCCAGCCCAGCCAGGAATTCCTCATTCCCAAGATCCCATCCATCCCTCTGGCAGTGGGAGCCATTCCCTGTGTCCTGTCCCTCCAGGCCATTCCCAAATTTCAGCTCTCCTGGAGCCCCTGGAATGTGCTGGAAGCTCTCCTGGATCCTTCCCTCCTCCAGGGGAACATTCCCGGTTTTCCCAGGCTGTCTCCATGTCCTTTTCCCTCCCCCATTCCCGACTCCTGCAGCAATTTTCCCCCACATTATTTCAGGAATTTTGAATCTTCCTTTGTAATTCCAACGTTTTCCTGGGCTCCTCTCCCTCTCCCGCTGTCCCTCATTAAATATCCCTCGTTAAATATCCAAGGATTTTTTTTTCCTCTTTTCTCCGGCAAAACCATCCCTGGGGTTTGGCTTTCATTCCAGAACAACGGAAACTTCTCCCGGATCCGGGTTTTTTTTCATTCCCACTTTTTCAATATCCCCACAGGTAGCAACTGTGAATTTTTTGGGCTTTTTCATCCTTTTCAAATCCCAGGAATCTTTCCTGGAATATCTTCCTAGCAACCCCGAAATGGGAACGGCAGCAAACGGGGCTGGAATTGCTTCCCAAAGTGGATTTTTCCCTGTTTTTCCATCCAAGAGACAGGAAAATGGGAATAAAGCCTTGGCATAGCTTAAAACCTTTCCCAAAATCCACTGAAATGAAGATTCCCAAAGTTTGGAATCCATGGGATCAGCTCAGGGTGCCCCAGGGGATTTTATGGCTCATCCCAGTTATTCCCAGTCCATTTATGGGATTAAATCCTGCAGGAAACCATTTTTCCAAGCAGGATTTTCCAGTTTTCCACGGGGAGATTCCCACAGGATTCCCCAGGGATCCAATCCCAAAAATTCCAACAGGAAAAGTGTTGGCTCGTTCCTGGCTCGTTCCTAGCCTGCTTTTCCAACACCCAGTCCAGACTTCCTGGGAAACCCACGGGAAGCCAACCAACATTCCCAAAAATCCCCAAAGCTCCCAATCCAGGAATTTCTGAGAGATTCCAATCCCTTCATCTAACCGCAGCTGGGAAAGGCTGGGATTGGAAACGGGAACAGGAAGGGAAAATATTCCAAGAGGAGAAACGTGGATTGTATCCTGGTGAACCCCAGAAGGGACTGGGGAGGAAAGAGATATCCCTAAGGAATGCAGAATTCCCAAAATCCTCTGAAAAGTGGGAATTGTGCCATAAAACTCCAAAAAAAAAGGACTGGGATAGAGCAGGAAGAAATTCCAGACAAAAGCCTGGAGGAATTCCGTGAAGGAATTGGGAATGCTGAGCTGATTCCTTCTGGGAAGCGCTCCCGAATCCAGAGGAAAATATGGAACTGACCTCCGGTGTCGGGATCATGGAAGTTGGGATCCAGCCCCTTTTCCAGCAGCCGGCAAACCTTCTCCGAGTTCAGCATCTGCACGTATTCCATGAATTTCTTCAGATTCGCCTGGATTCGGGAAAAACCGCCGTGTTAACATCCCGAAATTCCGGGAAAAGCCACCGAGGGAGCATCCCCATCCCAAAAATCCAAGGAGAACCAGGATAACGGGACGGAATTCCATCAGGGTGGGACACAAATCCACGTGGAAATGTCGGGAATTGATGGGAAAGGTTGGGAAGAGCTCCAAGGAAACAGAGAAGGTGAAGCCGGATTTCACATCCAAGGAAAAAATTCCAATTCCAACATTTCCCACCTTAATTATATGGGAAATATGGGAATATGGGAAATATGGGAAAATTATCCTTTTTAAGAGGCATGAATCCCAAAATACCGCGTTTCCATTTGTTTTCCAGTTGGAAAATTGGGAAAAAAACCTTGGAAGTGCCAAGCAGGATGAGGAAAAGGTTTGGAAGGGAATTTGGGAATTCCGGAATGGTTTAGGCTGGATGGGAGCTGATATCCCATCCCATTCCAAGGGCATGGACTCCTCCCACTATCCCAAGTTATTCCAACAATTCCAGGGATGAGGCAGAGGAAGATTCCTTGGAACTGCTGGATCATCCCATGGGAATTCAGGCTGCCAGTGCCTCCCCTCTATCCCCAAATTTCAGGATTGGAATTTTGTTCCCCCGAGCTGGAATTTCCAATGATTCACTTCAAATTCCCAAATTTTTGGGATTTGTCCTGTTTTTTTTTTTTTTTCTGGATGAAGCCATTATTAAATTCCTGGATTCTGGGAATTGCAGAGGCAGGAATGGCTCTGGTGGGAAAATCCCAGCTCCCACATTCCCACATTCCCAGACTCATTCATTTTTTGGAAGTTTATTCCAATCCAACAAGGCAAAATCTGGGAAAAGTCCTGGAAAATCCCAAGAGATGGAATTTAGGCCGGCTGTGCCCTTGGAGCCGGGAGAGGCCGGAGCAAATCCATGGATCCGCCTCCCGCTGCCAGGCAGCAGCAAATGGATTCATTGATCCCTCAGAAACAGGGAATTATGGATTTGCTGCCACGCCGGGACAACGCGGAGCCTCTGGAATTGCACAGTTCCTCCAGTGGGAATCTCCAGAGCCACGGCACCGGGAATCCTGGAATGGTTTGGGTGGGAAGGGACCTCAAATCCCATCCCATTCCAATCCCACCATCCCAGGCTGCTCCAGCCTTTCCTTGGACATTCCAGGGATCCAGGGGCAGCCCCAGCCAGGAATTCCTCATTCCCAAAATCCCACCCCAAGCTCCCTTTCCCAAGGAATCCTGTCCATCCCTTTGAATCCCAGAAAATCCAACATTTCCCTGCCCAAGGAACCAGACGGAGCCACAAATCCCAGGAAAGCCCCACCCTGGGACACAGCGGCAGCGCCTCTACTTTTCCAAGGAAAACCTCAATAATAAACACATGGAAGAGCAGGAATTCCCAGGAACTGAAGCAGGAATTCCCAAGGAACTGAAGGAGAAATTCCCAGAAACAGAAGGAGAAATTCCCAGGAACTGAAGGAGAAATTCCCAGAAACAGAAGGAAAAATTCCCTGGATTTGAAGGAGAAACCCCCCAGGAGCTGAGGCAGGAATTCCACGGGAACCAAAACAGAAATTCCCAGGATTTGAAGCAGAGACCCCACAGAAACCACAGCAGGAATTCCCCGGGAATTGAAGCAGGAATCCCCCAAAAAACAAAGCAGGAATTCTCAGAAACAGAAGGAAAAATTCCCAGAAACTGAGGCAGAAATTCGCCCCAAACCAAAGCAGGAATTCACGGAAATCAAAGCAGGATTTTCCCAGGAATTGAAGGAGGAATTTCCCAGGAATTTCCCAGAAATTCCCAGGATTTGAAGCAGAAATGCCCAGAAACTGAAGCCAGAATTCCACAGGAACTGAAACCGGAATTCCCCATCTCCCAAACCTCACGGAATCTCCGTGCTGAATTCCAGCCGTTCCCTGGATGACCCCATTCCAGGAATGATCCCTGCCCGTTATCCCAATGTTCCCATGGAATCCCTGTGCTGAATCGCAGCGCCATTCCCAGCTCCGGGAATGATCCCTGCCCGTTATCCCGATATTTCCCCGGATCCGGTACCGTTCCCGAGGCTCTCCGGGTGTCCCGGTGTCCCCGTGCCAGCCAGGATCCCATCCCTGCTCCCGCTCCCTCTGGATCCAGCTCCAATCCCAGCCTTTTTTCCCGGGAGCTGCTCCAATCCCGGCTTTTCCCGGGAAAGGTCGATCCGTGCCCGCTGCGCCGGGATCGCTCCGACGGGCACGGAATGGGGATGGATTGGTTGGAATTGTCCCTTTGGATCCTGTCCGGCATTCCCAAATATCCATGGGAAAGGAAAAGGACAAGGAAAGGCTCCTTCCCAAAATCCCACAGGTTATGGGAAAGCAGCAGCGTGAGGGAAAGGGAAAAAGGGAGATGGGAAAAGGAAAAAGGGGGGAAAAGGGGGAAAAGGGGGAAAAACAGGGAAAAAAGGGGGAAAAATGGGAAAAAGGGGAAAAAAGGGAAAAAAGGTGGGGGGAAAGGGGGGGAAAGGGGGGGAGGGAGGGGAAAAGGGGAAAAGAGGGAAAAAGAAAAATGGGGAAAAGGGGAAAAAGGGGGAAAAGGGGGAAAAGGGGGAAAAGGTGGAAAAGGGTAAAGGGGGGGAAAGGGGGGAAAAGGGGAAAAAGGAGGAAAAAAGGGAAAAAGGGGGGGAAAAAGGGGAAAAATGGGAAAAAGGGGAAATAAGGGAAAAAAGGGGGAAAAGGGGGGGAAGGGAGGGGAAAGGGGAAATAGGGGAAAAAGAAAAATGGGGAAAAAGGGGAAAAGGGGGAAAGGGGGAAAAGGGGGAAAGGGGGGGAAGGGGGGAAAAGGGGGGAAAGGGGGAAAAGGAGGAAAAAAGGGAAAAAGGGGGGGAAAAATGGGAAAAAGGGGAAAAAAGGGAAAAAAGGGGGGGAAGGGGGAAAAAGGGGGGGAAGGGAGGGGAAAGGGGAAAAAGGGGAAAAAGAAAAATGGGGAAAAGGGGGAAAAGGGGGGAAGGGAGGGGAAAGGGGAAAAAGGGGGAAAAGAAAAATGGGGAAAAGGGGGGAAAGGGGAAAAAGAAGGAAAAGGGGGGAAAAGGGGGGAAAAGGGGGGAAAAGGGGGGAAAAGGGAAAAGCTCCTTTCCAAAATCCCACAGATTTGGGAAAAGAAGCAGCCTGAGGGAAAGGAGAAAAGGGAAAAGGGGAAAAGGGGAAAAAGGAGGGAAAAAGGGAAAAAAGGAGGGAAAAAGGGGGATAAAGGAGGAGAAAAGGGGGAAAAGGATGGGAAAAGGGGGGGGAAAAGGGAAAGATCCTTCCCAAAATCCCACAGGCTTGGAAAAAGCAGCCAAAGGGAAAAGGAAAAGGGAGAAGGAGAAGAAATGCACAATCCCGGATTTCAGCACCCCACAGACGCTCTTCCCGCTCAATCCCACCCCGTGGAATAAAATCCAAGGAAATCCGGATAAAATCCAATCAAATGCCATAAAATCCCAGCGCCAAAACTGCTCCTGTTCTGCTCTTGGCACCGGGAGCTCTGGGATTCCTTGGGATATCCCGGAATTCCGGAGCTGAACAGGTTTCCCAGGGTTTTCCAGGTGAATTCCATGGAAATTCCATGGGAATTCCGGGCTTAGCTCTGCTCTCGTTCTAGTTTTGGTGCTGCTTTGATGGAAAGCTGGGATTCCTTGGGATATCCTGGAATTCCAGGGCCGGACAGGTTTCCCAGGGTTTTCCAGGTGAATTCCATGGAAATTCCACGGGAATTCCAGGTTTAGCTCCGCTCCCATTCTAGTTTTGGTGCTGCTTTGACGGAAAGCCGGGATTCCTTGGGATATCCCGGAATTCTGGGGCTGGACAGGTTTCCTGGAGTTTTCCAGGTGAATTTCTTGGGAATTCCATGTGAATTCCGGGCTCAGCTCCTCTACCATTCCAGTTTTGGTGCTGCTTTGACGGAAAGCTGGGATTCCTTGGGATATCCCAGAATTCCAGGGCCGGACTGGTTTCCCAGGGTTTTCCAGGTGAATTCCATGGAAATTCCACGGGAATTCCAGGCGTAGCTCCTCTACCATTCTAGTTTTGGTGTTGCTTTGATGGAAAGCCGGGATTCCTTGGGATATCCTGGAATTCTGGGGCCGGATGGGTTTCCCGGATTTTTCCGTGGGTTTCCTGTGGGAATTCCATGGGAATTCCATGGGAATTCCATGGAATTAAGGCTCACCTTGGTGTGCAGTTTGGCGAACTGTTTGTCGTCCAGCAGCGGCTGGGAATACACGCGGCGCTTGTAGCGGAACTGCCGGGATAAGAGATTGATAACGGATTGATCAGAGATTGATAAGGGATTGATAAGGGATTGATAAGGGATTGATAAGAGATTGATAAGGGATTGATAAGGGATTGATAAGGGATTGATAAGAGAGAGAGGAAGAGGAAAAGAGGAAAAGAGGAAAAGAGGAAAAGAGGAAAAGAGGAAGAGGAAGAGGAAGAGGAAGAGGAAGAGGAAGAGGAAGAGGAAGCGGAGACACAAAGATAAGAGATATCAGAATAATGAATTATGAATGTTAAAAGATAAAAAGATAAGAGAGGAGAGATAAGAGCTAAATTAATATGAGATGAATTGAAATTAAATTAAAATAAATAAATAAATAAATAAATAAGTAAAATTACAATAAAATAAAATAAAATATATAAAATAAAAAATATAAAATAAAATATATTAAATAAAATATATTAAATAAAATATATTAAATAAAATAAATAAAAAATAAAATAAAAATATAAAATAAAATAAAATAGAAATATAAAATATAAAATGAAAAATAAAATAAAGTATAAAATAAAATAAAATACAAAAATTAAATAAAGTAAAATAAAGCAAAATAAAATTAAAGACAGTTAAATGAAATGAAATGAAATGAAATGAAATGAAATAAAATAAAATAAAATAAAATAAAATAAAATAAAAAATAAAATAAAATACAAAAATTAAATAAAGTAAAATGAAACAAAATAAAATTAAAGACAGTAAAATAAAATAAAATAAAATAAAATAAAATAAAATAAAATAAAATAAAAAAAAAATAAAATAAAATAGAAAATAAAAAATAAAATAAAATATAAAATAAAATACAAAAATTAAATAAAATGAAACAAAATAAAATTAAATTAAAGTAAGTAAAAAAAATTTAAAAAATAAAATAAAAAAAAACCAAAATAAAATAAAACAAAATAAAATAAATATAATAGAAAACAAAATAAAATAAAATAAAATAAAATAAAATAAAATAAAATAAAATAAAATAAAATAAAATAAAATAAAATAAAATAAAATAAAACAGAAAATAAAATATAAAAAACCAAATGGAATGCAAAGTGATTTGATTTGCCCTCCGCGCCCCAGTCCCGTCCCGTCCCGCGGGTCACCTCCAGGTAGGGCAGGGGGGTGTCGGGGCTCGGGGGATATTCCCGCAGCAGCCGCTCCTCGTCCAGGAACTTGCCGGCGCGGCCGTTGCAGGCGGGCTGGAAGAGGCCGTAGTTGAGCACGTCCTTCAGGCTGTGGTTCAGCGTGCACAGGATGCGCTGCTTGGACACCCACACCGGCACGTCGGGGTTCAGCCGCAGACACTTCTGGGGATGAGCACGGAACCGCGTCAGAGCCGGAACGGCGGGATTGGGAATGTGGGAATGTGGGAATGGGAGTGTGGGAATGGGAATGGGAATGGGAATGTGGGAATGGGAGTGTGGGAATGGTGGGAATGGGAATGTGGGAATGGCAGGAATGGGAAAGTGGGAATGGAAATATGGGAATGGCGGGAAAGGGAGTGTGGGAATGGCAGGAGTGGGAAAGTGGGAATGGAGGGAATGGGAGTGCGGGAATGGGAAAGTGGGAATGGCGGGAATGGGAATGTGGGAATGGCGGAAATGGGAGTGTGGGAATGGGAATGTGGGAATGGGAATGTGGGAATGGTGGGAATGGGAGTGTGGGAATGGCGGGAATGGGAATGTGGGAATGGCGAGAATGGGAATGTGGGAATGGCAGGAATGGGAATGTAGGAACGGCGGGAATGGGAATGTGGGAATGGGAGTGTGGGAATGGTGGGAATGGGAGTGCAGAAGTGGCCAGAATGGGAAAGTGGGAATGGCAGGAATGGGAATGTGGGAATGGTGGGAATGAGAATGTGGGAATGGCGGGAATGGGAATGTGGGAATGGCGAGAGTGGGAATGGCGGGAATGGGAATGTGGGAATGGTGGGAGTGGGAAAGTGGGAATGGTGGTAAAGGGAGTGTGGGAATGGCGGGAATGGGAGTGCAGAAATAGCCGGAATGGGAGTAAGAGAATAGCGGGAGTGGGAATGCAGGAATGGTGGGAATGGGAATGTGGGAATGATGGAAATGGGAATGTGGGAATGGTGGGAATGGGAGTGCGGGAATGGTGGGAATGGGAGTGTGGGAATAGGAAAGTGGGAATGGCGGGAGTGGGAGTGCAGGAATGGTGGGAATGGAGGGAATGGGAATGTGGGAATGGCGGGAATGGGAATGTGGGAATAGCAGGAATGGAAATGTGGAGGTGGCGGGAATGGGAGTGCTGGAATGGTGGGAATGGGAAAGTGGGAATTGTGGGAATGGGAATGTGGGAATGGCGGGAATGGGAATGTGGTAATGGGAATGTGGGAATGGTGGGAATGGGAATGTGGGAATAGCGGGAATGGGAATGTGGGAATGGGAGTGCGGGAATGGAAATGTGGGAATGGGAATGTGGGAATGGCGGGAATGGGAATGTGGGAATGGTGGGAGTGGGAGTGCGGGAATGGTGGGAATGGGAATGTGGGAATAGAGGGAATGGGAGTGTGGGAATGGCGGGAATGGGAATGTGGTAATGGGAATGTGGGAATGGCGGGAAAGGGAGTGCGGGAATGGTGGGAATGGGAATGTAGGAATGGCGGGAATGTAGGAATAGCAGGAATGGAAATGTGGAGGTGGCGGGAATGGGAGTGCTGGAATGGCGGGAATGTAAATGTGGGAATGTGGGAATGAGAATGTGGGAATGGCAGGAATGGGAGTGCAGGAATGGCGGGAATGGGAATGTCGGAATGGTGGGAATGGGAATGTGGGAATGGCGGGAATGGAAATGTGGGAATGGCGGGAATAAGAATGTGGGAACGGCGGGAATGGGAGTGCAGGAATGGCGGGAATGGGAGTGCGGGAATGGCGGGAATGGGAATGCGAGAATAGTGGGAATGGGAATGTGGGAATAGGGGAATGGGAATAGCGGGAACAGTGGGAATGGGTATATCGGGAATAGCGGGAATGGGAATGTGAGAATAGAGGAATGGGAATAGCAGGAATAGCGGGAATCAGAATGTGGGAATGGCGGGAATGGGAATACCAGGAATGGGAATGCGGGAATAGAGGGAATGGGAATAGCAGGAATAGCGGGATTGGGAATGTGGGAATAGCGGTAATGGGAATAGCGGGAATGGCGGGAATAGCGGGAATGGGAATGCGGGAATAGCAGGAATAGGATTGCAGGAATAGTGGGAATGGGAGTAGCATGAATGGTGGGAATGGGAATGTGGGAATAGCGGGAATTGGAATGCGGGAATAGCGAGAACGGGAATGTGAGAAGAGCGGGAACGGGATACGGTGTTCATCGGGGATGGGGGAATGGGGGAGTGAAAGGGGGAGTTGGGGTTTGTGCAGTTCAGACTTATGGAAAATCAGGAATTCCCAAGTTTTCCTGATTTTTTGCTTTAAAAAAATGAAAACAATTGGGTGTTCCCATTGTGGATTCCAAAGGGAAGCGGAGGGAGAATGTGGGAATTCACTGAGTTGTTCTTCAGGGAATGGGGGAATGAGGGAGGGAAAGGGGAGAATTGGGGTTCGGAAGGGGAAGAGCTATGGGAAATGAGGAATTCCCAAGTTTTTATGGCTAAATTCTTAAAAAAAACCCCAAAAATTGGGTGTTCCCATTGTGAATTCCAGAAGGAAATCCGTGGGCAAACACAGACATAAAATGGGAATTCACCGGGTTCTCCATGGAATGCAAGAGAAAAAGGAGGGAAAAGGTTTGTGAGATTCAGGGAGGAATCCCACAGGTCTGTGGGAAGTCAAGAATTCCCAAGTTTTTTCCTGTCTTTAATTTAAAAAATTAATGGGAATTTATGGGTGTAATGGGAAAAATGGGTGTTCCCATTGTGGATTCCAAAGGGAAATCCATAGGGAAACAGAAGGATGAAACGGGAATCCATCAAGCTCTCCATGGGAATGGGAGAAAAGAGGGAGGGAAAGGGGGAGTTGAGGTTTGGAGCTTCTGGAAAGGGGAAATCGATGGGAAATGGGGAATTCCCAAGTTTTCCTGATTTTTTAAAATTAAAAATTGAAGAAACAAATGACAATGGATCCGTGTCTGTCCCTGAGGAATTGTCACGCTCTGGGCACGGATCTGGACACGGATTTGGGAATAGATCCGGGCATGGATTCCGACATGGATTCAGGAATGGATCCCAACATAGATCCCGATGTGGATTTGGGAATGGATACGGGCATGGATCCCAAAATGGATCCCAGCATGGATTCGGGATTGGAACCCAACATGGATCCAACATGGATTTGGGAATGGATCCTGACACGGATCCCAACATGGATTTGGGAATAGATCCCAACATGGATCTTCCTAAAACCGGGACAAAGTTCCAGCCCCAGTCCAGGCCCAGGGAATGTTCCCGGCTTTCCTCCAAGGATTCTCCTTGGATTTCTCCCAGGATCCTGGTTTTTATTTCCCGATTACTCCTTCCAAGCCATTCCAGCAGCATTCCCATGCGCACAGGGTGGAAAATCCCACGGGATTCTCCGGAATTTCCGTGGGTTGGCAGGAGAAAGGATCAGAGCCACAGGATTGGGAATATCCATGGGAATTCCCACCTGGAGATCCCAAATCCCACCTTGGGCCAGGCTGGATGTCACCATTCCCATCATTCCCATCATTCCCGACCACAATCCTGGGAAGGAGTTGGGATTTTCAGATATCCAGGGAAAAGCAATCATGGAGGAGAGGGGGAATCCACAGGAATTTTTTTCCACTCTCCAAAGTCAAACTGGGACCGGTTTGTGGAGCCAGCTGGGAAAAAAAAAAAAAAAAAAGCTGGAATTTTGGGGCTTAGATCATCTCCTGAGGGAAATCCCATTCCTGACATCACCAGAGTTCAATTCCATGCTGGGAGAAGCCGCTTCCAGCAAAAAAAAACTGGGATAAGGGTGGGAGGGAGGATCCAGGAAGCACCTGGAGTTCCTGGAGCCAGAAAAACAAAGGATTTGGGATTTTCCATTGAATTGGGGGCTGATCCATCGGGAAGGGCGTCGGATGTTGTGTCATCCCACAAAACCCAATCCCAAAATCCCATCCGGTGACTCATGGTTCAAAACTCCATCCAAAAATCCCAACTCCATCCAGAATTCCCAACTTTCTGCAGCACTGACAGCCCCGATCACGCCAATATTCCCAAAGTCTCCAGAACCTTGGAATGTTTCCAGGGAATCCACTCCGCCCCATCCCACCCAGGGCCTCCCATGGGATTTGCTCCATCAGTTTTCTGGGATAAAGGTTCCCCACAAGGAAAACCATCAGGAATTCCAAGAAAACACCATAATTCCCTGGAAAAGCCTTCCCAGTCCATCCCTGGCAGCTCTTGATCCAATGGATTGAGGCTGGAATTTTCCCTTGGGAAGAAGCACCAGCATGGCCCTTTCCACACTTTTCCAGGATTTTTCCAGGATTTTTCCCAATCCCACAGGAATTCCAGGATCTACTGGATCTTTGCTCCCTCCTCTCCTGCTTCCCAAAATTCCGTCCCAAATTTTGAACACCTTAACTTTGGAATGTTCTCCCTCCTTTCCTCAGCACTTTCCCAAACAAATCCCCAACTCAGCCTCAGGAATTTTTCCCATTCCAAGATCCTTCCCTTCCCCCTGGAGCTGCTCCAGCCCTTCCAGAAATTCTTGGAATTCAGCTCCAGTGGGAGCCTCTGGAAGTGGCCGCTCCGGAACTTTTAATTCAATCCAAATAAATCCTGGAATTTCCCGGAATTCCCATCCTTTATATCCAATCCTATTCAAGATTCCAAACCCATTTGGCCGCCACATTCCCAGGAAAACCCAATGGTTAAACTTCCCCAGGAATTCTTTCCTGGATTTCCCAGTTTTCCATGGAAAATCCCAGATTCTCTCTTGCTCTTTAGGTGTTGAAAGTGGCTCCTTCCCAAAAAATCCCTTTTCCCTATGGAATCACCACTTGGAATGCCATCATTCCTCCCTCCTCATCCTCTCCATCCCTCCAATCCAAGTGGGAATTCCCGGCAGGAATTCCCACAGGAATTCCTTGGAAACTCCAGCACTCACCAGCTGCTCCATCCCGGAGCGAAAATTCCCAACTTTTCCCACTGGTGACTCCATCTTTTCCTTGTCCTCCCTCTGTGTCCCCTCGGATGTTCCGAGGGGACAGAATCCCATGGATGGGGTATCCCTGTTTTCCATGGATGGGGCATCCCTGTTTTCCATGGATCCTCTGGAAGCGACCGCTCCGGAGCTTTGAATCCCAAGCCAGAGAAATCCTGGGAATGTTGAATTAAATT